GCTGATTTTATGCCTTCTGAGGTAGCTGAGCTATCTTGGGTGTGAAATAGATCTCCAAGAGCTTCTGAGACCTGGCTTGAGGAGACTCCTATTTCAAAGACACCTTTCCCATACGGAAATAAAACACCACTGTAACACCTTGGTACTGTTTCATGCAAGATGCACATTAAAAATTCCCTTCTTCCCTTATTTCCCAGGTTATACTGGTGATTTTTTGGGGGGGGCTTTTGCTACCCCAGGCCCTGAGCCTGGATCTTGGAGCAGGGTTTTGCTGCAGGGAAAGAGCCACTTTGGGGGCTTTGCTGGGTCACAACACAATGCTGAGCTCCTGAAGGCAGCCCAGAAGAAGCTCCTCATCCCTCTCCCAGCTGCTCAAGCCATGCCTGGAGGCACAGGCATTCCTCTTGTTGTCAGGAGGGCCAGGATCACAGCTGGTGCCCCCTGGGGGAGGCTGAGCCCACCTGAGAGCCTGGTGCCCCCCTTGCCATGGGGAATCCTGTTGAGGCTCAGGAAGTAGCCATCCTCTGTCATCACCTCGTACTCCTCGCTGGGATAGCCGTGGAAAAGGATCTTCTCGCTCTGCAGGGACAGGGGTGTGAGGGCAGAGGGTGACCCAGAGCTCTGGGCCTGCCTCAGCTTCACCCACTGCTGCCACCCACGTGGTGTCCCCCGTTGTCACCTGAACCCAAAGGAATCACAGGGAGAGCAGGGAGAGGCCAAGCTCAAGCTGAGGGCATGGAGTGAGTGCCAGCAATGCAAATATGGGAGATTTTTGATGCCCCAAACCCCCCAGAGAGGCCAGGTGCAGATGCAGGGAAGGGGTGAGCCCAGCTGGTGCCTCAGGAAGGACTTTGGGCATGCCCATGGAGAAGTGATGTGCTCCCCCAGCACTTACAATGTTCATGAACCTCTCTGGGTTGTGGAAGAATTCATCATCTGGGATGGCATCTTCCAGCTCCTGGGCCAGGCACAGGGCCACGAGCAGCAGCCACATCTCACCCATCTGCAGCACCTGGGGGATAACAAGGCTGTGAGTGCTCCAGGGCCATGAGGAACCCTTTGGGACAGCCAAAGCCTGATCCTGCCACAGGGAGCAGGTGTCTGCAACTCCTTGTGCAGTTTGGAGCCCACCACAAGCCCCTCTTGCTGGCCATTGTCATCTAGTGCAGCTGTAAGTGTGGGACAAGCAGCCTCCCACCACCTCCTGCCTTGGAAAAGCATCAGGGAAATCCTTGAGCTTTCAGGAAAAGCATTTCAGGGGAAGAATGCTCCCCTAAACAGGAGGGGTCATGCCAGAGCTCCATCCCTGCCTGGGATGCTTTACAGCCCCTTGCCAGGTGCTCCTGGAGTGCCCAGCCCAAGGAATTCCAGACTCAAGGGCGCATCCAGCAAAGCCCAGTTCCCTGCTGATCCTGCTGCAGGAGCTAAAGGTGGCTCCCTGCCTCCCAGAGTGTGTTTTCCCAGCAGCCTTACTGCATGGAAAGCTTTCCTGGGCTGCTCAGGAAAACAGCAGAGCTCTGTGTGGGCCACTGTGCAGACATCTTTTATGAAAAATCCTTTCTTTAGGATTTTTCCCCCTGAGAAGCTGAGAAGCCTCAGGAACAAAATGTAAACATTGATTATCTGCTGCTGTGGAATGCAACAGGTGCATCTGTGATTGGCACATCTTGGATGTTTATAATTAATGGCCAATCACAGCCCAGCTGGCTCAGAGAGAGAGAATCTGAGACAGCTGCCTTTCTTATCATTCTTTTCTATTCTTAGCTTAGCTAGTCTTCTGAGATGAAACCTTTTCTTCTACTCTTTTAGTATAGTTTTAATGTAATATACATCATAAAATAATAAATCAAGCCTTCTGAAACATGGAGTCAGATCTCCATCTCTTCCCTCATCCAAAAACCCCTGTAAACACCATCACAGGCCACAGCAAAAACTCCCTCTCACTCAAACACAAAGTGCCAACTCAAGCCCACCAGCAGCACCTCAGTGCCTCCATCTCCACATGCAAGTGAGAAGGGATGTCCTGGGTTTAAATTGCTGAGATGGCTGAGGGAAGGAGAGGTTGGATTGCTCTTTGATCCCCCAGGCAAACCACATTGCTAAACCTGATCTCCCTTTGTCCTGCCCAGCTGCCCAACACCACAAATGCAGGCTGGACTCAGTGCGAATCACCTCTTTTAGGTGATATTAGTCTTGTCGCCCCTCAACCTGTGTGTGAAATGAAGATGGAAAGGACAGCAGGAAGGCAGGAACTGCAGCGGCCAGCTCCTCACCCAGCTTAGTTGCCCCAAGATATCAGAGCCTGGCCAATTGCTGAAATCACCACTTCAGTGAGCATGAGCACTGAGGCTTATAGGGGATGGAGAAGCCAGGCCTGCTCAGGAGATGCCAGGTAGAACAATGTGATCCTCAGTGCTGTTTGCTTCTTGCTCAACCCACAGGAGTTTCACACCAATTTCATCCCCTGGCTGAGCTGGTCACTTAGGAAAGAGCTTCTTTCCCTTGGGGCTGTCCAGAGAGGTGGCAAATCCCTGCCAGATTCTGTCCCCATTCTGTCTGTGGAAACCCAGAGCACTGGGAATATTTCTCTATCTGCTCTGGGGTGCCCTGATCCCCAGGGGAGCACTGACTCTGACCCTCATTCATGGAGAAAGTTTCATAGACTTCAAGATAGACTGGAATCCACAAAAGTATGAAATAGATTACAGAGAGTAAGAAATAGGAAATTGAAGAATTGGTAAGAAATTTAAGTTTTGGGATTTTTAGTGTGTTGTGGATGGAAGCAAGATGGAGGGCACAGGGTGTCACCCTGGGTTTCTTCTTCATGCTTCTTCTTCCTCCTTCTCCATGAGTTTGGGTGGCATTTTGTAATTGGGCAGGCAAGTCCCCATTGCAGCTCTGTGGGATCGATTATTGGGTTACAAGGGGAAATAATTCAGGTGTCAGCTCTTAATTGGATGGTTTAGTCTTAAAAGTGCTTGGAACAAGAGATTGTTGGCCATTTTGTGCCTTCTAATGAAAAGCTGCTGAACTCACAGTAGTTAGACTGCTTTACTGATAAGAAATTATAAACACCTAAGTGCAAACAAGAATTAGTGTCTCAAGTGCCTTCCTTCCAGACCCAGAGAAACCAAAAACTGGGACCCCCACATTGGTCCATCTTCCTTAGATCTGCCCTTTACCACCTAAAAGGGGACCCTCCACAGCTCCATGGCCAGCAGAGCCCTCACACATTTTTACTGATGTACAGTCTGGAAAATGAGATATCTACACATCCAGTCAGCTCTACAGGAAAAAGAAAGGACTTTCTAAGTGAGGTGGGAAGGATGAAAATCCATCTGGGCAAAAAACCTCAAGCATTCTGTCTTATAACTGCAATATAAATGTTACACACTCTTTATTATTTAGCAGCTTTATTCTGCTGAGAGGTAGAAGCAGCTTTCAAAGGTAAGGTATTGATTTCATCAATATCTTAAAATGGAAATACAGTGACAGAAGCAACTCCTCCTGGTATCCCAAGACATGGCAGAGAGGGAAGGATGAATCCCTGGGATGGGGAGCCAGGATGGAGGAGAGCAGAGCTCATCCTCAAAGCTGCTGCTCCCCTGGGTAAAGCAACCCAGCCCCTTCCCTATCCCTTTCACAGAGCCAAAAAGGATAAAGACCCAGGAAAATGTCTAACCACCAAGTTCTCCATGCATCAAATGCTCAGCTGGAGTGGCAATAACACCTTTTTTTCAGCAATAGCCTGGGCTAGAAGGAGAACAGGAGAGCAGGAGAACAGGAGAGCAGGAGAACAAGAGAATAGGAGAATGGGAGAACAGGAGAACAGAACAGGAGAATAGGAGAATAGGAAAACAGGAGAACAGGAGAATAAGAGAATAGAAGAACAGAAAAATAGGAGAACAGGAGAATAGAAGAATATGAGAATAGGAGAACAGGAGAACAGATGAACAGGAGAATAGAAGAACAGGAGAACAGGAGAGCAGAAGAATAGGAGAAAAGAACAGGAGAATAGGAGAACAGGAGAATAGGAGAACAGGAGAACAGGAGAACAGGAGAGCAGGAGAGCAGGAGAGCAGGAGAACAGGAGAACACCAACCTGACCCTCTGCTTCAGGCTCTCCGTGCAGTCAGTGGGGTTGGTGGCACTGAGGGAACCAGTCCTTGGCTGATAAAGACACCCAGAGAGGCTGGGACTTGTCCATCAACACCTGCCTGTCCCTGCCCAGCCACACAGCCCAGGGGTTCAGACACTGCACCCCAAAAGCCACATCCCAAAGTTTGGGACGTGTCCCCACCGCTGGGAACACACAGGTCCTGTGGTGTCCTCTCCAGCTGGGACAGCATTTTTGGCATTCCTTGGCAGAGGGGTTCCAGCTGCTTTGTCTCTGCTCTGGGGGTGCCAGGCAGGCTGCTCATCCTGGATTTCCAGGTGTAGGTAAAGGGTCAGCTCTGCATGTCAGCACCAGGGCTGGGTTGAAAAGAAAGGGACAAATCTCAGGAAAGGAGGAAGAAATGCCACTTGCATGTGACACTGGCTGGATTTTGTCAGTGTGGACATCCCAAGAGGGGAAATCCAAAGGGTGCACAGCAAATCTCCCATGGCAGGGGAACAATCAGCCCCCCAGGAGTTCATGAGCCCCTTTAAGCAGATTTTCCAGCCCCTCCACTCTCCTCCTGCCAGGAGAGCAGTGGTGGTGAGAAGGGACCTTTGGGGTCTCCATCTCCACCCCAGCCTCCTGCTCACCCTGGTCTGGGGTGGTTTAAGCAAAATATTTCCTCTGTCAGTTGAAAACAGACACACATCTGTTGTTGTTTTCACCAGCAGAATCATTCTTTGGGATTTTTCCTGGGTTTAAATGCTGGCAATAAAGAACAGCATGAGGCACTTTGCAAGAGCTCTATTTAATCATGAGGCCTTTGGGTGCTGTTCCCCACAGCCAGCCAAAGTCCTGGAGGAAGGAGGGGGTCTGGTGACAGCTACAGAGAGGTGGCAAAATGCTGGGTGAGGAGTTCCCTGCCCTGGCTGACCCTTCAGGCAGCACCAGGCCAGGCAAAGTTGGGCATTCCTTTGAGAAAAGAGAACAAAAACCCTGCTGAGAAGTGCCAGAGAGCAAAGTGGGCTTAATCTTCAAGCTGACCTAGGAAGAAAATGAGGACCCAGCAGAAATTATGAAAGAGATGAGCAGAAATGAGAATTTTCTCCCTTAGCTTCCCTGCTACTACAGCCTGGGCATTTAACATTATTCCAGTGACCCTCTGAGGGTCCTGGAATAGTGTTATGGAATATTTCAGTGACTCTCTGAGGTCACCTGCTCCTTCCCACCACCCTGAAGGATGATGATGGGGGGATCTCCCCAAAACCCCTCCCTAGCCCAGCTCAGGACCTTCAGGCCGTGGTTCCCTGCAGTGCTCACCCTGCCCCCAGTGTCCCCTGCTGCCACCAGAGCAGGGACAGGCTGTGAGGTGCACAGAGCTTCTCCTTGTCCCCAGAATGCCCCAAAGCCAGACCCCACCAGGGTGTGGGCAGGAATGCCCACAGGAAACAGGGGCTAGGCCAGGTCTGGGGTCCCCAAATCCTCACAAGCAGCTTCTGGCCTCCAGGCTCACCTTCATCTCCCTCCTGGGCTTGCAGGAAGCCTGAAGAGCCTTTCCTGGTCCTTCAGAGGTCCTTCCTCTCCCAGAATGCCCGTTCCCCTTCGAGCCTCTCTGGACAAGCTGTGGGTTCTTCTCCCCTTATTTCCCCAGCCCCTGCCCCACCTCCTGAACCCCTCCTCTCCTCCTGGGCAGGCTGGGCCACTTTTGGGAAGAGTGACTCCACACCTGGCCCTCGGGCTGCACTCAGGACACAGGAGATGTGTTGCACATGCAAGGGCTGGGAGAGGGGATAATCCCCTCTGCTTGGCACTGGGGAGGCTGTATCCCTATGCAGAACCCTGGGCTCCCAGGGACTACTAGGACACCCCCACATGGGATAATCCCCTCTGCTTAGCACTGGGGAGGCTGCAGCCCCATGCAGAACCCAGATTTGGGTTTCCAGGAGCTACTGGGACACCCCCACATCGGGGTGAGCCCAGAGGTGGTGGGTGGAGGCCAAGGCCAAGGTGCAAGGAGAGGCTAGGCTGTCTCAACCAGAGCCAGTGGCTGATTCCCCCTGCCCAAGGGGCTCCCAGAGGCACAGAGAGAGCCCCAGAGGCACAGAGAGAGGCACAGAGGAACAGAGAGAGCCCCAGAGGCCCAGAGAGAGCCCCAGAGGCACAGAAAGAGCCTCAAAGGCCCAGAGAGAACCCAGAGGAACACAGAGAGCCCCAGAGGCACAGAGGGAACCCCAGAGGCACAGGGAGAGCCCCAGAGGCACAGAGAGAGGCATAGAGAGAGCCCCAGAGACACAGAGAGAGGCACAGAGGCACAGTGACAGGCCCAGAAGAACAGAGTGAGCCCCAGAGGCACAGAGCAGCACAGAAAGCCTGGCTGTCCTCAAGGAAACAGCCTGAAAATGTGAGCAGGGCAGCCAGGCTGGGATCCCTGAGCTCCAGATGTCCACTGGCAGGTGCAGAAAACCTCCAGAAAACATCAAGGCCTCTGCTGCCAGGGCAGCACAGATTTTGTTGGCACAAATCCTTCTGAGCACAAATCCCTCTTGTGAGCTCCTCATAGATCCAGAAAACCTCCAGAAAACATCAAGACCTCGGCTTTTCCCCTCAGCCAGGGCAGCTCAGATTTCGTTGGCACAAATCCCTCTGAGCACAAATCCCACTTGTGAGCTCCTCACCAGCAGCCAGGACAGCCACAGCTGGAGCCAGGACAGGCTTTTCCTCACTAAAAGGAGCTGAGGGGCACTGAGGGGACACAGGGAGCCTGGGCAGATCCATGTCCAGGCGTGGGAGCAGCAATGGCACGGCCACCCCTCCCTGCTCTGCCACCCTTAGCCCAACAGCCAAGGGAGAATTTGCCTCTCCTTGAAGCCCACGAGGTGTTACCAGCCCTGAGCTGGGGTGGTTTGCGCAATAGCTCCAGAGGAAGGGTGGGGAGGGGTTCAGGGACAGGAGGAGTAAAAAGATCAGGCAGGGAGGGAGCTCAGCACAGAGTCCTGCTTGGCCCTCTGGTGACAAAGGAGGAAAGTGATGCCTCAGGTTTAGCTTTTATATTTTTCGGATTCTGTGCTGCTTTAGTGTGTGGGTCTGAGCTTCACATTAAGGGATGGTGAGCTCTGTGCACAGAGCAGGGAGACAAAACAATTCCTGCTCCAGCTGGGGACCAAAGACAAATGATCCAAGTCTCAGGCTCAAGAGCACAAACAACGTGGGCTGAAGAGAGAAAAACAAGCAGGATGGGACTGCACGGGCTAAAGCTGGAGCTGGACAATTAACTCCAATATGCAAATGGAGCAGAACTGATAAAAGTGAGACCCCATGACCAGTCATGCATTTTGTGACCATTTTTGGTGTAGCCCTGGCTGGGCTCTTGTGCTGCCCAAGGTGGATCCATTGAGGCCTTTTAATAAATCCTTGCTTTATTCTTTAGCTCTGTCCAGCATCTGCTCCAGGTCAGCCTTTTCAAGGCACCAAAAGCAAACCAGAGGCAGGGGTGGCCTGGGGCTTTGGGGTTGGGTGGGATTTTTTCACCAGCTGATTTTACATTCTGTTACTGACAAAGCAGGGAAACCTAAGCCAATTTTTTTTTTCTAAATTAAACTCAGCAGCACTGATTGCACACACAGAAAGGAACATCCCACCTGCTCTGTGACAGAAGGAGCACCAAAAACCTTTAAAATAGCTCAAAGTGATTCCCATCCTCTCCCAGGAGAGAGCTCCATCCCCACAGAGCCCCGGGCGGCCATGGTCAGGCCACTCAACCACCCCATGCTAAAGGAGAGGGGGATAACCATGGTTTGTTGGGTTTGGGGTTTCTCCATACACCAAACCTCCCCACTTTTCCTGAGGGGCTGGGCAGGAGCTCCTTTCCCTCACCAGCACTTTCACAGCACCCTCTGCTGCCCAGGCTGTCCTGTTTCCTTTGGAGTGCACCATCCCATGGACAGGGAGAGCTCCAACACTGCCGACTCTCAACTTCTTATCTGCCAAGGTCAGGATTAAATGTGTGAGTTGGTGTTTCTTGTTGGGACTCAGATGTTTATTAGTTCTTATCCATGTTACAGTCTCACAAACCCTGAGTTCTACAGCACTTCACTCTAACAAACTAAAAATGGAGCTCCATCTCTCTCTCTCTACAAGGCCTTTTAAGGATAAACTGCCCAATTAAGAAATGACACCTGAATTATTTTTACTTTTAACCCAATAACCAACCACCCATGGCATGCAATGTGGACTTTTTTTATCCAGTTACACAAAACCACCCAAACCCATGGAGAAGAAGGTGAAGAAGAAGGTAAAGAAGAAAGTAAAGAAGAAGGACCAGCCTCTGCCCTAAAACCTCCATCTTGTTTATATATATTGCTGTATTCTAAACGCTTTAACTCTTAGTTTCCTACCCTGTGATATCACACATTTCTGTTCAAACTCCACACCCACAATCCCAGTTCTACCATTCCATTTTGGAAGCTTCTCCATGGCCTCAAGTCAAATGCAACGTTCTCTTGGGGGTCAGGGTTTGTCTAAACCCTTAAACTCTGAGTTTCCCACCCTGTGATGTTACACATTTCTATTCAAACTCCACACCCACAATCCCAGATTATGGCAAGACTTGAATTCTACCATTAATTCAGATAGAACTGAATTCTATTATTCCATTTTGGAAGATTTTCCATGGCCTCAGGTCAATGCAGTGTTCTCTTGGAGTCAGTGCCTGGCAGCACAGAAAGTCCAAAATTCTCAGCAACCAACACAATTGTCTCTCCAACACAAGACCTCAGTGCCCCCATGGCCAGCCAGCAGCAAGCTGAAGAGCAGGGAAATTTAGGAAAAACCTCATTTTTTCCCCAGCACAGGGCAGGGGGTCTCAGGTGCCTCTCTGCCCGTGCGTGGGGGATGCTCTTTCCCAAGGCTCCCACCATGGTCTCACCAGTCCTGTCCTGGCAGCAGCACTGGTGGGAAGCAGCCCAGTGTTCACCTTCTGGCTGCTTTGCAGTAATCCCCTTCCCTCCAATGAAGGGAAATAAAATAACTGTTCAAACCTATGGAATGAGCTTGGCTCAGGACTCTTAATTTTTATCCCGATTTTAATTTTTTCTGATTTTCTCATGCCTTAGCAGGCTGTGCAGTGATTCACCCTGGGGGACTGCCCACAGATGTGGCCCTGAACTTGATGCCAGGACCAGGAGCATCCATAGGAACCTTTCTGATGTCCTGTCCCCAAAAGAAAGGCAAACTCTGTCGGTGCTGGGAGGAAGAGGGAGTGGCTTTTTTCTCATCTGGGCATACCCGATCCTGTTCTTCCACCTTTCCTCCTCTCCCTGCAGGGGAAAAATCAGATTCTTCTCTGAGCCAGTGCTTATTTGAGGGTGAGGCAGCTGGGAGAGCTCCTGGCACTGCCTGCAGCTAGTCCTTGGTGAAGAGCAGCCATTGGAACTCCAGCTAGAGGTGGAGCCATCGAGGATTTCCAAAGCCTGTCTGCATTTGAGCAAGCGTGGCTGGGCCAGACCTGGAGGTGCTGGCTCCAGGAGGGATGCAGGATCCCACACTCAGCACCAGGGCCCTGTAGCAAGGAGTGGAGAGGTGGCCACCAAGGCAGAGGTGACAAAAATGACACCCAGAGTCGCAGACATCTTTTATGAAAAATCCTTTCCTTAGGATTTTTCCTCCTGAGAAGCCGAGAGGCTTCAAGAACAAAATGTAAACATTGATTTTCTGCTGCTGTGGAATGCAACAGGTGCATCTGTGACTGGCCCATGTTGGATGCTTGTAATTAATGGCCAATCACAGTCTGCTGGCTCGGACAGAGAGCCCGAGCCACAAGCCTTTGTTATCATTCCTTCCTATTTTATTCTTAGCTGGCCTTCTGATTAAATCCTTTCTTCTATTCTTTTAGTATAGTTTTAATGTCATATATATAATAAAATAATAAATCAAGCCTTCTGAAACATGGAGTCAGATCCTTCATCTCTTCCCTCATCCAAGAACCCCTGTGAACACCGTCACAACCCAGAGCTCCTGTGACCTGTCACCATCCCTGCAAGCACCTCCTCAGGCAGCTCCTGGCCAAAGGCATCACCAGCTGGCAAGAGGGGAAGCCTGGCAAGATGTGAAATCCCCATCCACAGCTCCTTCCCTCAGCAGGAATGTATTTTTTTTTTTTAATTTATTTATTAGAGCACCCTCTGAAGTCACTGTTTGTCAGAACCCAAGAAATTCCTCTGGCTGCCCTGGATGGCTCAAGTCCCTGCCCAGGGGGCTCAGAGGCCTTGGCACAGAGCCCAAGACCCCTGTGCCTTTGATTTAGCCCTTGGAAAGAACAATCACCAACTTTATATGAAGAATTACAAGCCATGAAAATTTAAGTAGAATGACAGTGAATTTATCACAGGGTGGAAAAATATATTTTTGGGGAGGTTTTAGAATGGGGGTTCAGGGGGCAAGATGGAGGAATCTGGGTGTGTCCAGCCTTTCTCTTTCTTCTTCTTGGCCTCCATCTTCTGCTGTGATGTTGGCACTGTTGGATTGGTTTAGAGTAGAAACTCACTGTCTAACATAGGTTATAGGTATTGGGAAGTTATGGTAAGTATTGTACATGTAGTTTTTAGTATAAAAAGATAACACTGGGGGCGGTCAGTGTGCCTCTGTCTGACCTGCTGTATGGACCTCGGCAGGGCAGGAGAAAGAATTTTATAGATAAGAGACAATAAACAACCTTGAGACTGAGAACTGAAGAGTTCTGACTCCTTCTTTGACAGCCAGGATGGGAAAAGAGATTTTCTAACGCATCCCAGGGTCACTGTGACCAGCGGAAATCCTGAGAACCGCTGGGACTGGGATGTTCGGCATTTCCAGGCTCATTCCATGCCAGGAAGCAGCAGGAAGAGCCAAAAGGAGCTTCCCCAGTGGAGTTTGGTGGGATGAGCTGGTCCCACTCATGCCCTCGCACCAAACCAGCCCCGGTGCAGGTGCAGGACCCTCAGTGCCCACCCTGGGGTTCACAGGGGTCACAGCCACGCCAGGTGACTCCACCAGCTGGAACCAACCCGTTTGTCACAGCTATGAGCCCTTCTCAGCGCCAAGGAATCATTGCCAAGGCAGCCCAGCAGCCCTGGGGTGAATTCCAGCTCGGCAGGAGGAGGAGGGACCAGAGGGAGTGGCGGCTCCCAAATCTCCCGAATCGGGAGCAGAGGCAGCTCCAGCCCCATGGGAGCGGCGTGAGCGGCCGGCAGCACCTTCTGCTCGGGGCACAGCGGGGACAAGGGCTCTTCTGGACACCACGGGTAATCCATCCTGCTCGGTGCCACCCCTGGGGACGGCCACGGGTAATCCCTGTGCTCGGTGCCACCCTGGGGACAGCGGGACAGGGCACCTGGACAGCCCCAGGGAATATCCTCCAAAGGAATGTCCTGCTCAGGGAAGGGGTGGGAGTGTTTGGAGAGGGGTCAGGACCGTGCTGCTGTTCCTGTTTACCCTGCTGCGCCTCTGGGATGTCCCCAGGTGTGCTGGGATGAGGGGCATGTCGCAAAGGGAAATTTTGGGAGTTTTCCCAAGCTGGCTGCTGGGAGGAAAGGGCCATCCATCCCAAGCAAGGCTCTGCCCTGGAATTTGCATGCCCTTCTCCTGACGCTACGTCACAAAAATGTGCCCTGCTGGCTTTGCTGAAGGCTCGCCCTAAAAATACCAACTCCAGAGCCTGGTGGAGCCCAGCGACAGGCGACAGTGTCCCCAGATCGCACCTGGCGGGCTCCGGGGAATGGTGGGGTGGGAGATGGGGTCCCTGGGGCCGGGCACGGCCGCCCCTTGGCGGATCTGAGAGCGGGAGGAGCCGCAGGGCTGTGCCCAGGTGAGCGCTGCAGGTGCGCCCGTCCTCCGCTGCCACCGCTCCGGGAGGGACCGGGTGGCTTCTGTCACCTCCCGCAGCACGGGCAGCCCGCGGCAGGATCGGGGAGAGCCGGGAAGGGACAGAAATCTGCTCCCAGATCTCCTCAATTTCGCCTGGGTGGGTGCAACACACCTGGCGCTGGCATTCAGTGGGAATTTGGGAATCCCTGCTAAGTTCCTCCACAGAATTGAACTCCTCTAAGTAGCTGAGGGAACTTCTCTAAGTAGCAGAAATACTGCTGCAGATTTGTCACCTCCAATAAATTTACCCGTTCCTATGTGGCAGAGATCTGCCCACAGCAGAGGGATTGGAACAAAATGATCTTTAAGGTCCCTTTCCAGCCAGAGCATTCTGTGATTCTGTTTCTGTCGGATAAAACAGCACAGTGAGATGTTTTGTGGTAGGAACAAGCTGAAGCAGACACTAAAATCCTTCCCAGGAAGAACAGGGGTGTCCTGAGATGGCATCCCACTCAGGTCTGCAAAAACAAGCCCAGGGTATCCCGGAGTTTCTCCCAGCCATAAGGAGAACCCAAGCAAACCACATTGTTTGGTTTCTTCTTAAGAACGTGGCCCTGAAACTTAAAACTGGATGGTTTACTCCTCATTAGGTCAGCTGTCAGTGGAAAAAAACAACGTATTCTTCCAACTATCCAAGAAATTGTTTTAAATGGATGATTTATAATCACCTCCTCGAAATCCAGGTTTGCCCAGGCACGTACAGATGTACCTGTACCTCTGCATGTTTCTGAATATGGAGAATGTGGGATTAAAATGGGATGGAATTTGGACTCTGGCTTTGTTCAAGATTAGCAAAACGAGCCATTTTCAGAATTGGAGGACTTCTGGTTTAGAATAATTTAACCCATGGAGGGGTGAGGTTGGTATCCTGGTGGAAGTGCAGGGCAGATCAAGAGAACTCCCCACAGCTTCTGTGCCAGTGCCAGCAAAGTCTCTCAAGGTTTTGACGACATTTTGCAGAGCACCATGACATGGCTGTTTCTCACCATTTCTTGTTTCTGTGCTAGTGCCAGTGCCAGCAAAGTCTCTCAAAGTTCTGGCAGTGTTTTGCAGAGCACCATGATGTGGCTGCTCCTCACCATCTCTTGTTTCGTGCTCATCGCTGCAAAGTCAGAGGAGAACCCCGAGGTGTCCATGGATGTTGTAAGTCCCTTCTTTTGCTGCTTGGTTGAGCAAGTTACCCACATGATCTGTGCAAGACCCACGGGCTCTGTGTGTCTTCACCGAGGGTTGACACCACGATTTTACGAGATATTTGTCTCCCTGCTCTTACATACACAGAGATTTATGACAGGAATTTATGGGGGGATGTCACAGACATGTTTTATGAAAAATCCCTCCTGAGAAGCTGGGAGGCCTCAGGAACAAAATATAAACAATTATTTTCTGCTGCTGTGGAATGCAACAGGTGGATCTGTGATTGGTCTCATGTGGTTGTTTCTAATTAATGGCCAATCACAGTCCGGCTGTCTGGACTGTCTCGGTCAGTCACAAGCTTTTGGTATCATTCTTTTTCTATTCTTAGCTAGCCTTCTGATGAAATCTTTTCTTCTATTCTTTTAGTATAGTTTTAATAATAATAATAATATATATATATAAAATAAAATAATAAATCAAGCCTTCTGGAACATGGAGTCACATTCTCATCTGTTCCCTCATCCTGGGACCTCTGTGAACACCATCACAGGGGGAAGGCTTTGTTCCAAGTCAGCAGGTTTGGTCAGGACAGCCCTCACAGCCCTCTCAGGCTGAGGTGGGCTGTCTGTGCTGCCCTGCTCTTGACTGCAACACAAAAAATGACAGTTCTTCACCAGACCTGCCAGAAATTCTGGCTGGAGTCATGACATCACCATGGGGACATTGGGAGGGACTGAGCCCAGCTTCCCCCTGGAGCCACCACCAGCACTGATGGCTCTGCCCAGCCAAGCCCTGCCACCCCTGAGGACAGAGACTCTCCTTAGGGACTGTCCCTTGCTCTCCTTCCCTTCCCACAGGGCGAAATTGTGCGGTACCACGGGTACCCCTACGAGGAGCACGAGGTGCTGACAGAGGATGGATATTTCCTCACCCTGCAGAGGATCCCCCACGGCAGAGGCAGCCCAGGGAGCTTCAGCCTCTCCCACAAGGCAGGGGCACCGCCATCCAACATGTTCTGTCCCCGTAAGTGCCACAGGAAACTTTGCCTGGCCCTGCCACCCTGGGGGTTTGGCTGGGCTGGAATAACCCACGGCCAAGGCAACTTCACTGTGGGATGGGTGCTTGTATTTGTTTTGGTTGTGGGCAAATTTGGGAGAGAACTTTTAAAGGAGCTTTTTTTGAAAAGCAGATTTAATTGGGTTGGGTTTTTTTTAATTGGTCTGAGAGAAAAAAATTTTTTTTAGAAAAGTGGAAAAAACTTGTTTATTAAACAATACCTTTTTTTTTGCTGTTTTAAAAGAGATGACAAACTCAGAAAGTCTCTTTTCTGGGTTGCAGTTTAGTTTACTTAGTCTCTTATTAATAGTCTTTTTGGTGCTGGAAATGCTGCAGCTCAGGTTCGGTCTGGTGGGTTACAGGTGTGAGCTGTTGGTGTTTTTTTGGGGTGTTCAGTTTAGAGTAGGTTTGAACAGGTTTAAAGAAAAGGAAAAAATACAATTTGGGGAAATATTTTGCTTCAGCTAGCTAAAACTAACTAAAATAAAGGAGAGCTTTGTCTTGTTGTTTGTTCATTTGCAGACAGCACAGTTTAGGAGAAGGAATATGGAGGAGTGAGTGTAGTGTTTGAAAATAAACTGCATGGTTTGAGTTTTTTTCTTCTTTATTATTTGAAATAAGTCTTAAAGGTACAAAACTTATTATTCAGCATAAACAGAACAGATGGTTGGGGATAAAAGCATCATGTAGTCAGCCCAGGACAGTGCTCCAGGAGGAAGCTCTCCCTGTAGGAGAAAACAGGCAAATAGCCTCAGGAGCAGAGGAAATGCAGGTGCCAACCATGCTGACCTTGTTCTGAGAGGATTTGCCCCAAAAAGGAAGGAGGATGAATGGGGCAGAGAAATCTCACCCCAGGTTTTAAAAAACAGAAGTGGAGCAGCAAAAAGCCATTAGTGAGGAAAGGAAAACAAACCAGGCAGCCAACCCAGTGCCATCTCAGTGTTTTGCATCTTTCCTGCGTCCAGGAAGGAAGATTTGGGGATCTCCCTGTTCTGCACTGAAACCCCAGCTTCAGAGCAGTGGTGGGGTGATGCCCAATTCTTGTCGTGTACATGGCAAATAAGTGAGAAAAAAACCAGATTTCCAGTGTCTGCCCTGGCCTTCTTCAAAAACACCTCCCCAGAGAGGCTGAGGACAGAGGACAGAGGACAGAGGACAGTGTCCCTGCCCTGGTGTGAGTTCCCAGGGCTGCTGCCAGAGCATGAATGTGAATGTAAATCAATCATGTGAATGTTCGATTTTGCTCATGGTCACAGAAAATGATTCCTTCTCTTCCTTCCTCCAGCTCCAAAGGCTGTGGTCCTCCTGCAGCATGGCCTGGTGTTGGAGGGAAGCAACTGGGTCACCAACTTGCCCAACACCAGCCTGGGTTTCATCCTGGCCGACGCTGGCTACGACGTCTGGATCGGGAACAGCCGGGGCAACAGCTGGTCACGGAAACACCAGGAGTTTGAGTTCCACCAGCAGGAATACTCAGCTTACAGGTATTTTCCATGAAACTGGAGGCTTAGCAGGTCCCTGGTACCCTCAGCAGTGTCTCCAGGCTGGAGGAGAGGTGCTCCTGGCAGTCACACCCTCTGCCATTGGGCAGAAATTGGGTTGTCAGCTCCTGCCAAAGCGCTTGCCTGCACCCAAGCAACCATGGCAAGGTCAGAAAAGGTGATTTTGTCACATGCCTGTCTCCCCTGCAGCTTCCATGAGATGGCCATGTACGACCTTCCAGCATCCATCAACTACATCCTGCAGAGAACGGGGCAGGAGCAGTTGTACTACGTGGCTTACTCCCAAGGCACCACCACAGGTACTGAGGAGGAGAGCAGGCCTGGCAGGGTCACACCAGCTGTGCACCCCCAGCCTGGGAGTGCTCCTAAAACCTTGGTCAGGGAGTGTTCCTAAAAAAGGAAGGGAAATGTCCAGGTATTTCCAAATAACAAAAAGGAAAAGAGCAGGTAATTGTTTTAACAGAAGAGTTTTGAGCGCTGGCAGCCTCAAACTGGGTTCATCTCATTGCTGCCAGAGCCTGACCTGCTGGAGCCACCTCTGAGGGGCTTTAAGGTGGGCACACACACCTGGAAGCCAACATCTGCCTCAGGAACAGCAGGGCAGGGTCTGCTTCCCTCTCCCCCATGCAGGTTTCATTGCCTTCTCCTCCATTCCTGAGCTGGATCGCAAAATCAAGATGTTCTTCGCCTTGGCTCCCATCACCGCCAACTCCCACATGAAGTCCCCCCTGGTGAGGGTGTTTGACCTCCCCGAGGCGCTGATCAAGGTGTGTCCTCAGCACAGGTGGGGTGTGAGGGGGAGGAGGGACTGGGAGGGTCCCCTGAGACAGGCAGGGCTCCTCCATCACCTGCATCTCCCCGCTCTGGGTGTTTGTGTGTGTGCTGTGAGCCTGGAGGGCAGGCAGATCATCCTCCTGTCCAGCCTTCATCGCAGAACTATTGACAGGGATTGGTTTTGGGTCCCTTCTCTTGGGAGAAACCTCTCCTAGGAAGGGCAGGGCTCTTCCAGGGCTGTAGCCTTTTCTGAAAAGCCAAAATGATGAAGCACAGCAAAGTTGTCGGCAACTTTCAGGGGTGAGCAAAGAGGTGGGGAGCACCTGGAGGCAAAACAGAGCATGATGCACCCCACTGATCCACCCCTCTGACTTCCACAGATCATTTTAGGCAAGACAGTGGTCTTTGATAAGGGTGAGGTGTTGAAGCAAGTGATTTCCACCATGTGCACCTACCCCATGCTGAAGATCGTGTGCTCTTTGGTGTTTTACCTGCCTGGTGGGTTCACCAACAGCTTGAACGTGGTATGTACACTGCAGCTTCCCTCTCCAGACATCCCGTTCCTCACTGTCCCAGCCTGAGCTGTCCTTCTGCTGCCTCCATGGCCTTCCACATCTTTGGCTGGTAGAAAAAATCAGCCTGGAGGCACCAGGGTGGGGGTTTCTCAAGTGAATCATTGGTGAAATTCCTTAATATTCCAAGAAGGAAATGTATTAGGGGCAACACACAGAGCTGAGGTTTGCAAAAGGATCCTGAGCATGAGGTATGGAGCCTAACTTTGCCTTGGGAACCAGGCAGGCTCCTACCATGGGACTTGCTCAGCTTGCTGCAGGGAGCTGTGGGTGAGGCTGGTGTGGCTCCTGAACAGGTTTGGTTTTATTTCTGATATGGATTTTTTGGGGAGGGAGCAAAAAACAAACCTCTCTGGTGGTCTTGCAGAGCCGCATGGATGTGTACCTGGCCCGCTACCCTGACTCCACATCCCTAAAAAACATGTTGCACTGGCGCCAGGTAACACCTCCTGTTCTCCTCCCTCTGCTCAGGGAATGATCTGGGAATAAAACTGGGAACAATCCCCACCTGCTCCCCCTGCAGAGCTGTGTGAGGGAGGGAGAGGAAAGCTGAAACACTGCTGCAAATAAAGTCATTTATCCCAACAAAAGAACTGGGGCTTGTAGGAGGAGGAGGTGGAACCTGGTGATAAACCAGGACAGGAGATGCCAGAGGGAAAGCTGAGGGTCAGAAAGACCACTAATGGTACAACTAATTGTTGAAAATGTTCTGCTCATGTCCCTCTGCTGATGGCATTGACCACAACACACAAAAATCTTGCCCAAAGTTGTCTGATTCGTGTGTCCTTTGAGGCTCTTGGCTGCACACCAGGTTCTTCACTGTGGGTTTCCTGGGGCTGGGCTCTCCTCCCAAAATCCAAATGTAAAAATGGCATCCCTGAGCCTTGGTGGCAGGAGGGAGCACTGCAATCCCCTGTCACTTCTTTTATCTGTCTTAGAGTCCCCTCCAATGTGTGGATAATGAACATAATTCTCCTTTTCCAGCTCTACCAGACTGGAGAATTCAAGCATTATGATTATGGCAGTGACAACGTGCTTCACTACAACCAGGTAAGAGAGAGCCATGCTCAAAGAAAAAATAAAATAAATATTCCAGTGAAAATATTGCAGTGGCTGAGACTGCATCTGGACAATTGAGCAGCCTGGAATAGTGGAAGGTGCCCCTGCCCATGGCAGGGGAGCTGGGACAAGATGATGTTTGAGGTCCATCCCAACTCAAACCATGCTGTGATTCCATTAATTACATTATATTTATGGGATTTGCTTTGTATGGAGATGCAGGTTCATAACTTTCTAATAAAAGTAAGTAACTCAGTCACTCAGTGATGACTTTTTGACCCTCTGGTGGAAAGAACAGGAGCCCAAGGCACAGTGAGGCTCCCTGGTGATAGCTCCTCTTCTATCCCTTGGGATAATGGAGAAATTCCAAGCAGCCACCAGGACACACTTTGAATTTTTGGCCTGCCCTTTGCCTCCCTCCTGTCTTGCAGAGCACTCCTCCCTTCTATGAGCTGGAGAACATGAAAACCCCGCTGGCTGCCTGGTATGGGGGCAAGGACTGGATCTCAGCCCCCGAGGACGTGAACATCACCCTGCCCCGCATCTCCAACGTGGCCTACAAAAAGTACATCCCTGAATTTGTCCACTTTGACTTCCTCTGGGGCAAGCAGGTCTACGAGCAGGTATACAAAGAAATGCTTGATCTGATGGAGAAGGGTGCCTAGAGCTGGAGCAATGGCTTCTCCATGACTTCTGGGGCTTATTTCATCTTGGGGGGGGAATGATTTTAAAAAAGAAGAAAAACTGGGGGGAAAAGCTCAATAAACTGCTCCACTTGGTCTGGATTGATATTGCTCTGGCCAGTGAGGACAACCAGGCAATGCAATGACTGGGGAAGCACTCTGGACTGAGGTTCAGTAGGCTGAAGTTGAGCAGAGCCCTCACACCCTGAGTCTCCCACGTGCCTCCCTCACCACCACTTTGGTGGAACTTGGCTCCTGGTGGCCATTGTGGACTCTGGGCTCCTTGAGCTTGGGTTCCCAGCTGCAAACAGCTGGCCAGGAGCCCCGTGCCCTCCTGGATGCTGGTGTCCCACAGGGATGGGATGAAGCCACGTGGTGGATGGGTCCTGCTTTGTTCACCTTCTGGCAGCGCTTCCACATCAGGAATCCCAACATCCTGGCACTCACTGCCTTCCTTCACAGCTGGAAGGAGCTATGAACGTCCTGCCTGGTGACAATGAAGAGTGGCCATGGGTTTTTATCAATGAGAACCCCCCACCTTGCTAACAAAGGGGACATCTTTCTCAGATTCATGCTGATTTGGATTATCTCACTTGTACAAAAAGGAGTTTCAGTAAGTTCTAGCAGGAAACACCATTTTGCACCACTTCAAGCTAAGGCACAAACCCAGCTGCAAAGGCCACCTTTTGCTGCCTCTCAGGGAGACAGAAGAAGAGTGTGGTGGACAGCAGCAACAAGCCTAAATCTATTTTCAGCTTCTGGATTAAATTGTTAATGATACCTTGATCAGAGGAGGAATCGTGAATTTGCCAGTTTGTGTAACTACCATCTTAAAATATGCCTGGGAGCAAGCAGGGCAAAGGATAAGGTTCTCTTTTTACAAATATGTAATAATAATAATAATGATAATGATAATGATAATGATAATAATAATAATAATAAAGTGGATAGGGTCAACTGGACGTTGTGTGGTTGTACTGTTAACTAAAGGCTAAAACTCTGGAGAAATTGGCACAAGCCCTGGCACAGGGTGCCCAGAGCAGCTGTGGCTGCCCCTGGATCTCTGGAAGTGCCCAAGGCCAGGTTGGATGGGGCTGGGATCCACCTGGGATAGTGGAAGGTTTGGAATGAGGCAGGATTTGAGGTCTCTTCCAACCCAAACCATTCCAGAATTCTGTGGGTGTGAAGGTTTTCAGCACAGACCTCTCACCAGGTGCAGGTGCAATGCTCCTCGTGCTCAGGGATCATTCCCAGATGATCCTGATGCCACCAGCATGTCCCTGCAGGGAAGAGGTGGGTGGTGAGGAGGGCGTGGAGCCCAGCACAGCTGCTCTGCAGAGCCAAACTGAGGGGCTTTAGCAGCTGAGCTTCATCCAGGAGTCTGGAGATGGTGGCACAGGGCTGGCACTGCTCAGGTTAGCACCTGTAAAGTGTTTCACTTTCTGCCCTTAGAGCTGGAACTGACCACAGCAGAAAACAGGGCAGGGTGAGGCCATGGCAGGGTGCAGGAATGAGGCTATAGGTCAGATAGGATCTGCCTGGATTGCCAGTGATTAGCTGCCTCACTTAGGACATTTGTAATGACATCTTTTTCTCTGTGATCAGCTGCTCGAGGCAGGGCCGTGCCCTGGAGCAGCACCTTACAGGGCTGCGCTGTGCTCATGCCATGGATAGCAGGGCAAATGGAAAATAAACACACTGAGAGACTGCCAGGATGCTCCCCCTGCAAACTTCTGAAAAGCTGGCAGGAAATCAGAATCACAGAATCCTTAAGAGACCCCCAAGATCATCAAAGCCAACCATGCTCACCACTAAACCACGCCCCACACCTGCCATTTATTCAAATTCAGTTTAAAAGCGCTAACATTTAACTTCTGAAAACTCATTAAAAGTGCAGGGTTTAGTCTCTTTCTGTTCAGGTTATGAAGTTTCTGCCACTCCTGCAATTATCTGGCTCAGTGTTGGCAATACATTATCTTCATTCTGCCCTGACAGAGCACTCTGGTGAAGTTCTGGTTTGATCAGATTCTGGCACTTGCTTCCCCTCTGCTGCCAAAGGATCAATAACAAATGAAGAGGTTTGTTTTGGAAGCAAATTGATTTATGCCTGCAGAATAAATATTGTGAAATCCCATCTCCTGGGATGGCCATGGCAGGAGTGGAGGCCCGGCGTGTCTCAGCTCTGTCAGGCAAGTCCAACACCACCAGGCAGATCTGTGGTGATGGCACAGGGTACCACAGAATCATGGAATCATGGGTGGTTTGGGTTGGAAGGGACCTCAACTCCCATCTCATCCCACCCCAAGGACGCCTTGGTGGCTCCAAGCCCTGTCCAGCCTGGCCTTGGGCACTGCCAGGGATCCAGGGGCAGCCACAGCTGCTCTGGGCACCCTGTGCCAGGGCCTGCCCACCCTGCCAGGGAACAATTCCTAATTCCCAATATCCCATCCAGCCCTGCCCTCTGGCAGCGGAAGCCATTCCCTGTGTCCTGTCCCTCCATCCCTTTTAAACAGTCTCTTCATGACTCTTGTATCTCCTTCAGGCCACAGTTTGGTCACCCCAGAGCTTCTCCTGTCCAGGTGAACACCTCCATCTCTCCCAGCAGAGCTGTTCCATCCCTCTGCCCATCCTGGTGCCTCCCCTGGACCTGCTCCAACAGATCAGTGTCCCACATATCTCAGTCCATGGTGTTCCATTCACCCACAAAGCCTCCACCACCCTTTTCTCCTCCCTGTGTGGGCAAAGCAGCCTCAGCCACACGTGGGGAGGATGTTGGTCACTCAGCCTCTCATTCAGTCTTCTCCCAGGTGTGCTCATGCAGAGGGTGTCACATGAGGCTGTGAGGGCTCACAGCTGTGTCACATCCCCCCCAGGGCACAGCAGTGTCACCCTGCTGCCTGATCCATCATTTCCCACCTCACACAGGGCAGCAGCACACACAGGAGTCGTGGAGAGGAGCACAGGGCCAGCTCAGCCTCCTTCCCACATGCACAGGCTTGAAGAGAGGAGGTGCTTTTGCAAGCAGCACAAGGATTGCTCTGGTGTCTGCTTTAAGCAACGTGCTGGCCCGTGGGGTTATTTGGAAACTGATTTGTCCCAGAGTCAATCTAGGACAAGGTTTCGTGGAGTTATGACAGATGGCGTGCTGCCTTTTCACGTCTTTTTGATCCTTTACAGCCTGACAACGATTTCCAGAGGCATTGCTGAGTAGATTCAGGCTTTTCATTTGGTTGAAAACACTGTGCTTTCTTATTTCAGGAACTCACAGCAATTTCCCATGTAATTTTCAAATTTTATTTTGAGTTTGTTAGATGAACCTCTGAGAGAGAGAGACTCTGGTTTTAAGATTTGCATTTTCTTGGGATGGGACTTCAAGCAGGTGGGAATATAAGGACATAGAAAGTTAGCTGAAATCAAGATCAGATGTTATTTTCTCCAATACTTCACAAACAAGTGTTGAAAGCTCAGCCAGATCAGCTTGTCTTCAGTATGCTGGGAAATAATCTCAGGAGCACCACGGCACCAAATCTGAAAACTGTTGGTGTTTCTTTACTGAGAAATTTTGCTCACGTTGTCCCAGGTCTGTTCAGGCACAAACCAAACTCTTTCAGCTGTAAAATACACTTTAAAGCCAATGAAGAGAGATCAGAGAAGAAGTACAACGAGTTCAGGGTTGTTCTGGGCTCTTGTGAGCACAGGAACAGGGGAGGAATTACTGAAGAAACACCAGTGACCACATCTCCATTATTTCCCAACCCACATTTATGCTTTTGTTTATTCCATTTCATTAGAGAGAATGGAATGATTTCACGAGCAACCCAAACAAGGTGTTGTGAAAAGAGCAGCTCTTTCCTCAAGCTCCACTGTGCAACTCCAGCACGGGCAAAACCCCTATAAATGTGCAAACCAGAGACAGCCCAGCCTAGCCAAAGGGACTTTAAACCAGGAAAAGCACGAGCAGATAAGGACTTACCAGGTTCTTTAACCTGAGTGTTCTCCAAGGTTACTGCAAGGCAGTTTTGTGTTTATCTGGCAGGGATTGCACAAGAGCTGGCATTCCCTTATTGCCAACAGCAGGGTGCTGCTCCCTTTCCCAGCTCAGGATGCCAGGGCCAGGTGGTTTGTGGCTGCTTCACCCTTGGCAAAAGGCACCTGGGCACAGGAAAGGGGCAGCAGGAGGAGCAGAGGGCACCATCTGGAGGGAAGGTGGGCATGGACAGCAGGATTAACCCAAATCCCAGGGCTGAGGGGGTCCTGGTGGAAAACAGCAGCAGGAACAGCAGCAGCAGGGCCCCAGCTGGAAGGAAGGTGGGCATGGACAGCAGGATTAACTCCAATCCCAGGGCTGAGGGGGTCCTGGTGGAAAACAGCAGCAGCAGGAACAGAAGGCACCAACTGGAGGGAAGGTGGGCATGGACAGCAGGATTAACCCCAATCCCAGGGCTGAGGAGGTCCTGGTGGAAAGGGGCAGCAGCAGGAGGAACAGAAGGCACCAACTGGAGGGAAGGTGGGCATGGACAGCAGGATTAACCCCAATCCCAGGGCTGAGGGGGTCCTGGTGGAAAACAGCAGCAGGAGCAGCAGCAGCAGGGCCCCAGCTGAGGGAAGGTGGGCATGGACAGCCCAGGGCAGGATTAACCCCAGTCCCAGTGCTGAGGAGGTGCTGATTGCACCCGTGTGCCTCAGAGGAGGTGACTCAGCAGCAGCAGACCTACACCTGAGGGACAGCACTGGGGACACAGCTGATCCCACGGGCTGCTTCCCTTCCTGTTGTGCCAGCAGCAGGTGGGGTTGCAGTCCTGTGATGCCTCAAATGAGAGCATGAGAGGCATCCTGCAGCAATGCTGCCTGATGGCTGAGAAGGGTGAGGCTAACAAGCAACACACCTCAGCAGAAGGTGTAAATTTTGATTCTTAAGGGCCTCAGAGGCCAAGAATAATACAGGGTTTGGGACTCAGGCAGAGCCCAGGACTCGTTGGATGGAAACTTTGGCCTTCCATGTCCCATCTGGACACACATCCCTCTGAGAATGTGGGATCTCAGAGTGGTTTGCGTTGGAAGGGACCTTAAATCCCATCTCATTCCACCCCTGCCATGAGCAGGGACACCTTCCACTGTCCCAGGCTGCTCCAAGCCCCAAAGTCCAGCCTGGCCTTGGGCACTGCCAGGGATCCAGGGGCAGCCACAGCTGCTCTGGGCACCCTGTGCCAGGGCCTGCCCACCCTGCCAGGGAAGAATTCCTAATTCCCACTATCCCATCCAGCCCTGCCCTCTGGCACTGGGAAACCATTCCCTGTGTCCCATCCCTCTATTCACATATCCCAACTCCCTGCACAACACCTTTTACCCAACAACATCCCAACCCCATGCAGGTGTTTTTTCAGCTCTGATTTTCCTTTCCTTCCCTCCCTGTGCTTCCCTTTTCCAGGGGCAGGCACAGCTGCTCTGGGAAATCCATTCCAGGGCCTGCCCACCCTCCCAGGGAGCAATTCCTTATTCCCAATATCCCATCTAAACCCAACCTCCTTCAAGTCCTCAAAGGTTTGAGGACTTTCATTCCTCCCTTTGACTAAGCCACACAAGAGTTCCTCAGTAAAAATCCAGCTGGTGTTTTATTTTGGCACCTTCCGTCCTTCCACCAGAGGAGGAACAACCGCGGGTGCTGAATCACACACTCAGCACTGACACACTGCTCCAATGGCCTCGTTCCACAGCCTGGGGATGCCAGAGAAGTCTCTGCTGCCTTTCCAACATCTACTACTATTAATTTATCACTACTGTTACTACTAGTTAGTAACTGCACTAGAGAATGAGTAGTGGGGTGAGAAGGCAGCAGGGCAGGGGGGGGTTCTGTCCCTCTGCCCCACTCAAGTGAGACCTCACCTGTGCACAGCCCTGGTGCTCCCAGCATGAGAAGGACATGGAACTATTGGAGCAGGGCCATGCAGCTGCTGAGGGGGTCTGGAGCAGCTCCCCTGTGGATCCAGGCTGGGAGAGCTGGGAATGCTCAGTCTGGAGAAGGGAAGGGTGTGTGGAGACCTCACAGCTCCTTCCAGGGCCTGAAGGGACACAGGGGAGCTGGAGAGGGACCCTGCATTGGGAAAGATGCAGATTTGTCCCTGGAGTGATAGGACACAGGGAATGGGTTCAGACTGCCAGAGGGTAGGGCTGGATGGGATATTGGGAATTAGGAATTGTTCCCTGGCAGGGTGGGCAGGCCCTGGCACAGGGTGCCCAGAGCAGCTGGGGCTGCCCCTGGATCCCTGGCAGTGCCAAGGCCAGGCTGGAGCAGCCTGGGATAGTGGAAGGTGTCCCTGCCCATGGCAGTGGTGGGATGAGGTGAGCTTTAAGGTCCTCCCAACCTATATAAGTTCCCTTCCACAATTCTCTGACTCTTTGCAGTGGGATTTTCCTGCCCACAGAGGAAGAAAGATATTTCCAAAAGCCCAGAGCAGGCAGAGCAGACACCTCTCCCTGTGCTCCTCTCCACGACTCCTGTGTGTGCTGCTGCCCTGTGTGAGGGTGGGAAATGATGGATCAGGCAGCAGGGTGACACTGCTGTGCCCTGGGAGGGATGTGACACAGCTCTGAGCTGTGGGCACAGCCTGTGCTGGCCCTGTGCTCCTCTCCACCACTCCTGTGCCCTGTGTGAGGGTGGGAAATGATGGATCAGGCAGCAGGGTGACACTGGTGTGCCCTGGGAGGAATGTGACACAGCCATGAGCCCTCACAGCCTCATGTGACACCCTCTGCATGAACACACCTGGGAGAAGATTGGATAAGAGGCTGAGTGACCAGCCTGCATGTTAGACAGTCTGTCTCTGCTCTAAACCAATCCCAAAGTGCCAGCATCACCCAGAAGATGGAGGCTAAGAGGGAGAAAGAGGAAGGGCAGGGCACACCCAAATTCCTCCATCTTGGGACCCTGAACCTCCATTCTAAAAACCTTAAAATTCTACCTTTTCACCCTGTGACAAACTACCAATTATTCTGCTTAAACTCTCCTGACTTGTAATTCTTCATATAAAGCTGGTCATTTGCTCCAGCTCTGCCTTGTACCTCTGGCTGCTGCTGGGACCTCCAGCCTGGTGCTTTTCCGGAGAGTTCTACAGAGCTTTGGTGAATTGCCCTTTGCTAACATGACACTCCTGGACCTTACTGTCACTTCTCATGAGGGGTGGGATATGCAAGTGTCTCCCATCCAGGCAGGCAGGGAGGCCTGAGGTGTCCTTGGGTGTCCTTGGGGAGCTCAGCATGCTGCTGAGGCTTTGGAAAGGTGGGAGTGAAGCCTTCAGAATGGTGCCTTAGGTTTAAGTTTTTATATTTTTCAGATTCTGTGCTGCTTTAGTGTGTAGCTCTGAGCTTCGCATTAAGGGATGCTGAGCTCTCTGCACAGAGCAGGGAGACAAAAACAATTCCTGCTCTAGCTCAGGACCAAGGACAAATGATCCAAATCTCAGGCCCAAGAGCACAAACAATGAGGGTTGAAGAGAGAAAAACAAGCAGGATGAGACTCCATAACATAAAGCTGTAATTGCACAATTAACTCCAATATGCAAATGGAGCAGAACTGACCAAAGTGACAGACCCTGTGACCAGGTGTCCATTTTGTGCCCGTTTTGGTTCACCTTGGGTGCAGCCCTGCCTGGGCTCTTGTGCTGCCCAAGGTGGATCCATGGAGGAGATCCTTTTGATAAATCCCTGCTTTATTCTTTAGCTCTGTTCTAGGCCAGCTTTCTCAGGGCATCAGTTCAGACCAAGCTTTTTGTTGCCCCAGGAACTCTCCCAAATAACCCTGGGAGACAGGAAACTACCCTGAGAGTTAGGAAATGACCCTTTACCAAGAAAACCTGTTGGCTTTTATTTTGTTTGTTTGTTCTCTCTTGGCTTGTTGGCTTTTTTCTTTCCCACCCTGGCCATCAAGAGCTTAAGCTGCAACTCCATAGCTGGAATTCCTCAGCACACCAACCCGGCTGCCTGTGCAGAACCGCAATCAAAGCCACCATGAGAAGCTTCCCATGAAGGGAGGTGCCCCAGGAGTGATCAGCACCCATCTGTTAATTGGAGGGCACGTGAACAGCAAGTGCCAGCGTGGCTGGGCTCTGACACAGCCCGGTCCTTTTAACTCTGGTGATGACAGAGCCACTGGCACTGCCACCAGCGGCCTGGCCAGACGTGCCAGGGCTCTGCCTGGTAACCAATTTCCCTCCTTGTCCTTCAGATCTGTGTCCTCTTGGAGCTGCCTGGTAACTTGTTTCCCTCCTTGTCCTTCAGATTTGTGTCCTCTTGGAGCTGTCCCCAGCGAGGGAAAAGCATCACTTGATTTTTTTTTTTTTAATTTTTGGTCTTATCTCACAGCTTGGTGACACCACAGGTAGGTTTGCTGGGAGTATTTCAGAGGGTAGGAAAGTCTTTGTGGTGTGGGAGCAGAAGGAGGGAGGCAGAGAGAAATTCACAGTTCATGCTGCTGGGCTGAGGTTAGGATCTAACTTTTGAGAGCCTGGCAAAACATCAGGAATCATTTGTAATGTTAATTGTGTGCATTAAAAATAGGCTTCTGCTCAGCTAAGGTGATCAAAAAGGTTTCTCGTTTTTTTTTCAGGCTACACTGATTTAACCAATAGCCTTCCTATGAGGCTCTACCAGTTTCACTCATAGGATCTGAAAAATAGAATCTGTTTACAGTGGGGTTTGGGTAGGAAAGTTAAGGAATAAACACGAAAAGTAGAGACAGAGTCATATCCCAGCCACACTAAACATGTTCCCTCCATAGCATAAACTCCCCCTTTAGGTTAATTCCTTCTGTGAGACAACTGACCCAGTCTGGGATTATCCATTGGTTTAGTTATTGTTTTGCATAGCTGGATCTCTTCTTCTTGCCATTAAAAATATTAAAAAGGCTCCAGCCTAGTACTAGATCCTGTCTGTACAGTATAAAAAATTCTAAAAATTTGGGAATTCCCTCCACTTTCCCAGCCCAGAAAATGGTATGTGATCTCCAGATATGTGAGGAACCTAACACATCCCAACCAAGCAGAAACAAACACTCACATCAATTCCAGCAACAACAACAACCAACAACAACAGCAACAGCATCCATGTTGCCGGATTTGCTGTTGTCACTCCTGCTGCTGCTCCTGTTGCTATTATTACTATCATTATCATTATTTTTTGCTGTTGTTGTCGCTGTTATTATTCACACAGGCACGAGATGTGGCTGCTCATGGCAGTCCTGCTCCTCCTACAAGCGCCCAGCAGCTCCGAAGGCGCCACCAAGCAGAAGAAGGCTCTGAACCCCGAGGCTCTCATGAACGTTGTAAGCCAGGAGAACTCTGAATTCCCTGTCTGAAGGCTTGGGCACGTTCAGCTGGAGGACAGAGAGGCTGGGAGAGGGCTGCTGTTGTTGGGCTGCATCATTAACATCATTAACCAGCTCCTCCCCCCAGCAGAATTAAGCACAATTACCAGCAGGGCAGTTAGAGATGGGGATAATCCCAGACTGGATTTGATCAGATATCTCCCCAGAGGGTAGAAATTTGTGCATGGCTGCTCTCCTTCAATAACAGCAAGTCACTCAGGGCCATGTCCAGGTGAGCCCTGAGAGGCTCCGAACCTGTGTTATAAGATAAAATTGCTGCATTTAAATCTTTAAACTGCATTTAAATCTTTCCTGCCAACCTTCATAACCAAGCAACCCGTGGGCAGGACCACAGCTGGATTTTCCCAGTCTGTGGAGTTTCCAGCATGAATAAAGCTCAGGCAGAGCCTTGGGAGCCCTGCATGGCTCCTGTGGGGTTTATCCCAGTGCCCTTCCAGTCAGCCCAGCTCGGCAGGTTCATCCCTCTGCCCCAGCACCTTATCAGCCCGGCTCATCACCCGGAGCCTGATGTGACATGTGTGGCAGGAAATCGGTGCCAGCCGTCTGTAAGGCGGGGTGAGGCGTCAGGAAATCCTTCTGGTTTCAATGGTTTCAGTGAATCCTTTTGGTTTCAATGATTTCAGTGAATCCTTTTGGTTTCAATGTTTTCAAAGCCCTGCAGCCTCCAGCTCCCCTCCCTCCCACGGCTGAGCATCTCCCCTTCCCCTGGGCAGGTCGCTGGGGCAGGGTTTGGACAGAGCCACAAAAAGTCCTCAGCTCATCCAGAGACAGCCTGGGCAAAGCCGTGTCCCACAACTTCGGTTTTACCACATCCCACAACTTCATTTTTACCATATCAGGTGGTAAAAGTCAAAGCTTATCTCCTCAAGTCGGATAAGCACCTTCACTATGGAATGTTTCCCACCTGGGAAACATTTTTCTTCCCCCAGAGCCAAATCATCTGCCACAGAGGGTACCCCAGTGAGGAGTATGAAGTGCTGACTGATGATGGCTACTACATCCACCTGAACAGGATTCCTCATGGAAGAGAAAAGCCTAAGAACAGAGGTACAGCTCGATTTCAGTCAGAGACAGCCGAAAATAAAAGCTCTGAATGTCAGCAGGGGAATGGATGAACCTGGACAGGCTGGGGGAATAGCCATTGTTAAAGCAAAAATACTGAATCTGTGGGATTTCTCCAATTTATACTCAAAGCTGTGGGTGAAGACATGGCCAAAATGCACATTTTGCTTGGGCAGTGCAAGGCAGAGGCTTTACTGGCCTTGATTTGGGGTGAGTGAACAGAGAGCATGTGCTCCAATGAAATATTCTGTTTCCTTTGCACTCAGGGGCCAAGCCAGTGGTGTTTCTCCAGCACGGGATATTTGGAGAAGGCAGCCACTGGGTGGAAAACCTGGCCAACAACAGCCTTGGCTTCATCCTAGCAGACTCTGGCTACGATGTGTGGCTGGCAAACAGCCGAGGGACCAGCTGGTCCCGGAGACACCAGCACCTTTCAGCCGACCAGGTGGAATTCTGGGATTTCAGGTGGGCTGGAGATGTTACAAAAGCCTGGCAGAGGCTCTCAGCCTGTCACCTGAGCTCCAGGCACAGGTGGGGGCCTCTGAGCAGGCAAGTCAGGGCAGCTCAGCCCTGGCACTGGGGAGGATGGGGCACCTGAGCAGACCTGCCTGCTGACACGGTGCCAGCTCCTCCCTGCAGTGCTGAGAGCACGGGCACTGCCACCTGTGTGGGGACACACAGAGACATCGCAGAGACCTCACTGAGCTGGCCACAAGTGTCATTGCCACCTCCCCTGCTCCTAGACCTTGTTGTTGCCCCTTTCGAAGCTGCTGCTGCCTCTCCAGAGCAGAACCCCCAAGCTCATGAAGAGGCTTTTAGAAAAACCTCACACAGCAGGCGTGCCTTTCACCACCTCCCACCAACACAATAGGAGCCAGTGCTGCATTCCCCTGGGGGAAAGAGCATCCCAGGGAGCAGAGCAGGTGCTGTAATCCTGGTGGGAGCTGGGTATGGCACAGGAATGCTGGCCAGGCTCTGCACAGTCTGTTTACTGCTCACCACAGCCGTGGGAGGGCTAAGCCCTTTCAGGGCAGGATGATGCCACGGCAGGAGGGATCCATGCCAGGAATTTCCCCCTGGAAAATCAGCCCCAGATGTGGAGCTGGGCAATGCAAGGCAGCTCAGGGGAAGCTGCTGCCCCACAAGCAGCATCCCTCTCCTGTGTTGCAGCTTCCATGAGATGGCAATGTTCGACCTGCCGGCTGCCATCAACTTTGTGCTGCAGAAAACGGGGCAGAAGCAGCTCCACTACGTTGGATACTCCCAGGGCTGCTCAATTGGTGAGTTCCAAAGGGTCACCCACCACCTTGACTCAAAAAAGTCCATTTTGGTGTTTTTGTCAGCAGAAAGCAGAGGGCTCCCCTCCTTGTGGGCTTAAAAACCACTGGCGTGCCCCATCAGCCAAGGGAATAAAGGTGGTGCCTCCCTTTGGGCATCTCTTGCACCAACATTTAGCAGGAGAAGGTGGCAACAGATCTCAGATTCCAAGTGGAGATAATCAATTAAACAGAGCTGGGTCCAAGTGAGCCTTCAGATAAAGCACCTGAGGAAAGATGGAGCAAGCCTGAGGTTGTTTTTTCTGTTTTCTCAGCGTTTATTGCGTTTTCATCCATCCCCGAACTGGCTCAGAAAGTCAAAATGTTTTTTGCCCTGGCTCCAGCAGTGTCACTAAAGCACAGCAGAAGTCCATTCATGAAGATGCATCTCCTTGTGGACAACAAGCTCCAGATGATTCCGGTAAGGGATTGACTCCACATCCTTCTGTCCCAAAACTGACTGGTTCTAGAGAAGGAGTAATGCCCAGCCACAGCCCCTGGGGCTCCCTGGTGCAGCAGAAAACAGTTAATTCCTGCTGGTTTATTAGCACAGACACAATTCAGGCACACACACAGTCCTGGATGGATTGTTGAGTGCATTTATTCTTCCCATCTGTAGGATACACGTGGTTTTTATATGGGGGCACATGGGAATAAGTCACAGAGGATTCCATTTTCTTCGTGGTGGGAAAAGCCTCTTCTTTAGTCACATAACTTCTTTTTGTACAGTTTTACAGACCCTGTGTGTGACTCCAGTTGGTCAGGAGCTTTCTTCCCAATTACTTTTATTGGTAATAAACAAGTTGTTCTTCTGTATTGAATATTGAATTCTGTCACTCAAACCCCCGGTGTGTATGTGCAGGAAAAGTTGTTTGTGAAGAGGCAATTTTAATTTTTCTGTCTAATGGTGCAAAAACAGTTTATACAGGTGCTGATTGTTTTTTTACCCAGTGATAGATTGCTATGCTAATGAACGGCTCACTCCAGGATTGCTTCACATGGGAACTTGCACAGTGCTAGCTTCCCTTACAAGAAATGACAGGCCAGCCAGAGCAGGCTTGATTTTACAAGGCTTTTCTTTATAATTTTTCTACCTTGCTGCAACAGGGGCACTTGTAAGAGCCCTAGACCAACACCTGAAGAAGAGCAGCTTTGCTGTGTTGATTCCATGGAAAACAGATCCTATTCTTGGGGGAGGTGGGGGGAAAGAGGAGAGCTGTGAACATTGATTTCGTTGGCGTGTGTTCGGTCAGCACCAACGAGCTGTGCACATCTCCATGGGGCAGGGGCTCGATTCCTGGGTATTCCCTGTCTGGTGGGGCTGGGCAGCAGGGAGGGCAGGCAGGAACACCCTCAGTGTGTCCCTCTGCTCCGCAGCTGCTGCTGGGCAGGACGGACGCATCGCTGCGCATCAGGAGGCTGTGGCGCTTCCTGCCCGAGCTCTGCAGGCACACGGTGCTGCACAGGCCCTGTGCCAGCCTCCTCTTCCTCCTGGGGGGCTACAACGAGAAGAACCTCAACATGGTGCGTGTGCCATCCCAGCGGGGACAAGGGTCATGGTCAGTGGGCAGGGGGGAGGTTTGCAGGCAGTCCCGACGTGGGAAGGGATGAGAATCTTGGCTCTGTGCTTCAAGAAGGCTGATTTATTATTTTATGGTATGTATATATTATGTTTATACTAATAGAATAGAAGAAAGGATTTTATCAGAAGGCTGGAAAGGAGAAGGGAAGGGGAAGAAAGGAAAGGAAAGGAAAGGAAAGGAAAGGAAAGGAAAGGAAAGGAAAGGAAAGGAAAGGAAAGGAAAGGAAAGGGTGAAGGAAAAGGAAAGGGAGGAAATGGCAAAAGGGAAAAGGAAAGGAAAAGGAAAAAGGAAAACGAAGGGAAAAGAAAGGAAAGGGGAATAGAAAAGGGAAGGGGGGAAATGGAAGAAAGAAAAAGGAAAGGAAGGGAAAAGAAAGGAAAGGAAAGGGGAAAGGAAAGGGTGAAGGAAAAGGAAAGGGAGGAAATGGCAAAAGGGAAAAGGAAAGGAAAAGGAAAGCTTGTGACTCACACAGAGTCTGAGCCAGTTGACTGTAATTGGCCATTAATTAGAAACAACCAACATGGGCCAATCACAGATGCACCTGTTGCATTCCACAGCAGCAGATAATCAATGTTTTTCATTTCCTCTGAGGCTTCTCAGCTTCTCAGGAGGAAAAATCCTGGCAAAGGTATTTTTCAGAAAAGATCATGGCTACAGCCAGGTGGCCCTTGCCAGCACCTCTGAATCACTGTGACCAGCCCGGGGTGCAGCCCCTGCTGAAGCAGCCTCTGGGTGAGCTCAGGCAGACACTGAGGCCTTGGGCACAGCCCCTGAGCCCAGGGAAGGTGTTTCACAGAGCCCATCACTCTCCTCCCCATGCTGCCTCACAGCAATTGGTTTTTAATGAAAATTATATCCAGCTCTTCAGGCAGCGTGACTCAGCAGTGGTTGCTCTGGGAAACACCTGGCAGCTGCCACTCCCCTCCCGTCCTCTGGAAAGCACCCTCAGCTGGGATTTGTTTCCTTGCAGACACGGCTGGATGTGTACACATCCCACTATCCAGATGGCACCTCTGTCAAAAACATCATCCACTGGGCCCAGGTAGGACCCCTGACACACACACACACCCCTGGGATGGGCCCCTCACTGAGGGCCAGGGCAGGCACGAGAGCTCAGGGGTCCCAGACACTGGGAAAGGAAAGGCAAGAAGTCAGAAGAGGTGCTGGGTGCAGGATGAGCTGCCCTGGTGCCTCTGGGGACCAGGGGACACTGCCGGACACTGTGTGTCCTGTGCTGGGCCAGGCAGGACAAGGGAGAGCACGGGGAGGCCACAGATGGATGTTGGACCCCTCAGGGGTCCCCAAAGCAGAACTTGGGGATACCATAAAGCCCAAGGAGAGGCTGGGGGAACTGGATGAGGAGGAAAATGGGGAGCTAACAACATCTCCCCCTGTCCAAAGGGGGCCTGGACACCCTGGAAATGGACTCTGCAGCTTCAGCAGAGTTCAGGCCCTGCTGGAAATGGAGAGCCCCACCCATGTGCCTCCCTGCAGAGCCAATTATTGGCAATGGAGGCTGGAAAAGGACAATCAGGGTGCTGGAGGAGCTGCAGCAGCACCCTGCACACACAGCTGGTGGTGAGCAGGATTCCAGAGGGAAGAGCACCAGGGCAGCCTAGGAATCACGTGGAGCCCCTTGGTTTGTCAGCCCATGGCTGGGGACAGGCATGGAGCCAGGGGTCACAAAGCCACCCTGTTAAAAAAGGTGGAATGCCATCTCCTCCTGCAATGTCCCATGGGTGAGGACACCAACCCCTCTCCTTGTCCTGCCTGTCCCCAGCCAGCTGGCATGGCTGGAGATGGGCACAGGGAGGGCAGGGGCTTCCACAGACACTTTCTGAGCACCCTCTCATGATGGATGCCTTGAGGGGGCCAGGAGATGTGATACCCACGCAGGAACAGATCCATCCTCTCCCAGCAGATCCATTGTGTCACAGCATGTCCAACCTCCCACAGCAGATCCATCCTCTCCCAGCAGATCCATCCTCTCACTCACAGCAAATCCATCCTCTCACAGATCCATCCTCTCCCTCACAGCAGATCCATCCTCTCACAGATCCATCCTCTCACTCCCAGCAGATCCATCCTCTCACAGCAGATCCATCCTCCTACAGCAGATCCATCCTCTCCCTCACAGCAGATCCATCGTCACAGCAGATCCATCCTCTCCCTCACAGCAGATCCATCCTCTCCCAGGAGATCCATCCTCCCACAGCAGATCCATCCTCTCACAGATCCATCCTCTCATTCACAGCAGATCCATCCTCTCACAGCAGATCATTCCTCCCACAGATCCATCCTCCTACAGCAGATCCATCCTCTCCCGGCAGATCCAACCCCACACAGCAGATCCATCCTCCCACAGAACATACATCTTCCCACAGAACATACATCCTCTCCCAGCAGATCCATCCTCTCATAACATATCCATCCTCCCACAGCAGATCCCTCCTCCCACAGCAGATCCATCCTCTCCCTCACAGCAGATCCATCCTCTCCCAGCAGATCCATCCTCTCACTCCCAGCAGATCCATCCTCCCCCAGCAAATCCATCCTCTCACAGATCCATCCTCTCCCAGCAGATCCATCCTCCCACAGCAGCTCCATCCTCCCACAGCAGATCCCCCCTCTCTCCCCAGGTGATAAAATCCGGAGAATTCAAAGCCTTTGACTATGGCAGCGAGAACCGCGCTCGGTACCACCAGGTAGGAGCTGCCATGGCCGTGCTGGCAGCTGGAGGTGCTGGGGGCCTCTCCAGGGTGCTGCAGGGACACAGTGGCTTCCCTGAGCCCTGAGAGCCCCCCGTGTCCCCCAGGACACCCCGCCCCTGTACCCCCTGGAGGAGATGCCGGTGCCCACGGCAGTCTGGTCCGGAGGGCAGGACTGGGCAGCAGACTGGAGGGATGTGCTGCAGCTGCTGCCCCGCATCAGCCACCTCGTCACCTACACCCACATCCCCGACTGGAACCACTGGGACTTTGTGTGGGGCCTGGACGCCCCCGGGCGCCTCTACAGCAGCATGCTGAGCCTGATGGAGGCCTCCCGGTAGAGCGGCGGCTCCCGGTGGCCCGGCCCCTGTCCCTCAGCTGAGACAGCCCCAGGAGGGGCTGGGACAATCCCTGCTGTCCCCTCCTTCCTGCTGGCCTGACACGTTTGTGGTGATGGTGCTTTGGTTGTTGGGTCTCTCCTCCTTGCTTGGGAGCTCCTCAAACACCGGCAGCACCGGGGTCAGCCGAGGCACCGGAGCAGGCAGGAGCCACCAGCACCAACATGATGGCGCTGAGCCAGGGACACACATGGGGACCCTGCCATGACACCACGGTGGGTTGTGGATTACAGCAGCCAGCCTGTGAGGAGCTGGGCCTGTGGGGAGACAGGCTGAGAGCAGCCCCCAGCCATGCACACAAAGGAATGCAGGGGATGCATGAGGCCAAACCCTTCTTGGCAGCAGCAACCACAGGGCTCTGGCCCCAGATTGCAGCCCAGGGGGTTCAGGTTGGATTTGGAGAATCCTTTTTCCCCAAGACAAGTCCTCAGGAAGTGGAAGGTCTCCATCTGGGCCAAGCCAGGCAGCTGCCTGTGTTATTTGGGCAGGGACTCAGTGGCCAAAGGTCCCCAGGAGTGGCTGCTTGGCTCAGCACCAAGGCACTGGGAATGATCATCCCTCATCCCTGGGAGCTGCTGACCCCAGATGCCCTGGGCTGGGGTGCAGGGCTGGCATCCCCCCAGGAAGCTGCTCCAGGCTGACGTCCCCAGCCTGTCCCACCCTGCTGCTTTCTGCAAACCCGGAGGTGGGGAAAATCTCTCCTAAATAAATACTCAAAGGGGGTTTCAGGAGCCTGTGCTTTGACACCCCCGGCTCTTCCTTGCATGTGAATATTTTCTGGCAGCAGGGACACAGGGCCAGCTGATAGAGCTGGGTGCCACCGTGGGTTCTCCGAGGGTCCCACCTGGGAGTATCCCAGTACATCCAGCACCCTATCCCACCCCTGGGCAGGGGGCAGGAAAAAAAACTCCACCAGACAGCCTTGGGAGTGGAGAGTTTTATTATATCCATGAAGGTTTGGGCATCACGGGTGGGCGGGAGCGCTGGGACTGGCCCTGGGGCAGCTCTGCTGGGATGTGAGCGGCGGGACCGCGGGGCGATGGACACCCACTGCTCCTCCACCTCGCCAGGCTGGCCGCCACCGTATGAGGTGGATGAGCGGGAGCAGAATGGGGAGAGGAGGAGGGTGCGAAGGTGGTCCCAGGGCTGCCCCTGCTCCAGGGGGGTCCCCTCTCCCAGCCCTGCCCTGCATGGGTGCGGGCAGCCGGTTCATCGCTGCACCGGGACCCCATCCATGCCTCCCTCCATCCCTTCCTTCCTTCTTCCCTCCGTGCCGGGGCTCGGGCCGCTCCAGGGGCGGTGCCGTTGGCGGCGGGCGGTGCCGGCGGCGGCGGAGGGCGGTACCGGCCGGCGCGGGCGGCCATGGAGGGCAGCGGGCCCCGGGTGGTGGCGGTGGGCGCGGGGCTGGCGGGGCTGGGGGCGGCCCAGCGGCTCCGCGGACACGGCTCCCTCCGCCTGCTGGAGGCGGTGGCCCGCGTTGGCGGCCGCGTCTGCACCCGCCCCTTCGGTACGGGCGGCGAGGCCGGGGCAGGCTGCGGGAACCGGGGGTGGGCGGCACCGGGGGGCGGGCCCGGGCCGGGGCGGGGGGCGGCGGTACCGGGATGTGGGAGCTGCCGCACCTGAGCCCCGGCCCGTGGGGCCGGTCCGGAGTGGGCCGGACACGTGGCGGGGGTGGCCGGTCCCGTGAGCACGCGGGCACCGAACGGAAGCCGCTCACGGGGGGCAGCGGGGGCCGTTCCGGGGCACCCGGGTCCCGCTGCGCCCCGAGCGCTCCTGCCCGGGCACGGCTCGGCATGACCCGCTCTCCCTCTGTCCCTCCCTCCCGGCAGCGTCGGGGCTGGCGGAGATGGGGGCACACTGGATCCACGGCCCCTCGCCGGGAAATCCCGTGTTCCGCCTGGCCTCCCAGTACGGCCTGCTGGGCCCGGAGACCGCTCGGGAGGAGAACCAGCAGGTGGAGGGGGGCGGCCACCCCCCGCTGCCGTCCGTCACCTACGGCAGCTCGGGCAAGGTGCTGAATGCCCAGGCAGTGCGCGAAGCCCGCGACCTCTTCTACGCCCTGCTGGCCTCCACCCGCGCTTTCCAGGGCTCCAAGCAGCCGCCGTGGCCCAGCGTGGGGCAGTACGTGCGGGCGGAGATCGCCCGGACGGTGCCCACCATGGCGGGGGGCCAGGAGGATGCGCGGCGGCTGCAGCTGGCCGTGCTGGCCGCCTGCCTCAAGCTGGAGTGCTGCATCAGCGGGACGCACAGCATGGACCTGGTGGGGCTGGAGCCCTTCGGCGAGTACGTGTCGCTGCCCGGCCTGGACTGCACCTTCCCAGGGTAAGCGCGGGGCTCCGCGGCGGGACGCGAGGAGCGACCCGGGGCCGCCCCGTGCCCAGCGCTGACTCCTCCCACAGCGGCTACAGCAGCTTGGCCGAGCGCCTGCTCTCGGATATGCCCGAGGGCACCGTGCTGCTCAACAAGGCCGTGAGGACCATCCACTGGCAAGGCTCCTTCCGAGAGGAAGGCGACGATGGCGGCAGGGTTTTCCCCGTGCGGGTGGAGTGCGAGGATGGAGATGTCTTCCTTGCTGACCACGTCATCGTCACTGTCCCGCTGGGTGAGGACACCAACACCTTCCCTTGCCCCGCCCTTGCCCTCCGGCCAGCTGGGCGAGCGGAGGGCAGGGATTGCCTAAACCCCTTCCCAGCCTCCCCTGTCCCGCTGGGAAGAGGTTGGAAAGGGGTTTGGGGAGCTCAGAGCACCTCAGACACCATTGAGAGCTGCCCCGTTGCCTGCCCGAACCTGTGGCTGCAGGTTTCCTCAAGGAACGGCACCAGGAATTCTTCCAGCCCCCCCTTCCCGAGCGGAAAGCACAGGCCATTCGCAACCTGGGCTTCGGCACCAACAACAAGATCTTCCTGGAGTTCGAGCAGCCTTTCTGGGAGCCCGAGCAGCAGCTCCTGGAGGTGGTGTGGGAGGACGAGTCGCCCCTGGAGGAGCCCGACGCTGACTTGGAGGCCAACTGGTTCAAGAAGCTCATCGGATTCGTGGTGCTGCAGCCGCCAGAGCAGTAGGTGACGGGGGATTTGGGGCATCGGGGCCGCTGCCGGGTGGGCACGGGGAGGGGGCAGCAGCTTTCAGCCCCGCCTTGCCGCCCCAGGCACGGGCACGTCCTGTGCGGCTTCATCGCGGGGAAGGAGTCGGAGCACATGGAGACGCTGAGCGACGCCGAGGTGCTCAGCGCCATGACCCGCGTCCTGCGCACCATGACAGGTGCCCGCCCCTCCCCGCCCCGCCCGCTGCCCCGGGGGGATCTCCCGATCCTATCCCTGAGCTCCGTCCGCAGGGAATCCGGACCTGCCCGCGCCCAGGAGCGTGCTCCGCTCCCGCTGGCACAGCGCTCCCTACACGCGCGGCTCCTACAGCTACGTGGCCGTGGGCAGCTCGGGGGACGACATCGATGTGCTCGCACAGCCGCTGCCCGAGGACCCCCGGGACCCCCGGGTGAGGACTGCTGCCCCAGGGGGTGCGGCGGGGACAGACAGACACACAGACACACGGCAGTGGGGACAGCACAGGGAGGTGGCACTGCTGACCCTCTGCGGGGGTCACCAGTGCTCGGGTCACCCGCTGGGCTCCACGGGGGAGGGAGGGGGCATTCCAACAATAGTCGTGGGCAGGCGGCTCGTAAGGAAGGGGAAGTGTCCTTAGGGGGTTGTTAAAGCGGTGGTGCCCCCGCGGGGTGCCGGAGCGCGGGGGTGAGGCTGTTCCAGCGCAGCCCGCGGCCCCTGCGCTCACCGCCCGCCTCTCGCAGCCCCTGCAGCTCCTCTTCGCCGGCGAGGCCACGCACCGCACCTTCTACTCCACCACCCACGGCGCGCTGCTCTCGGGGTGGCGAGAGGCCGAGCGGCTCAACCAGCTCTTCCAGGCGCCCGTCCCCGCGCCTCAGTCCTGAGGCGGCGAAATAAACCGCGGTGCTTTGCCCTTCGCTCTCCTTTATTGAGAAACCTCCGCGCCGGCGGCTTCTTCCTCTCGGTGGCGGGGCGGGTGCGGCGGGGCTGGCTCCGCGGGGCGCTGCCGGTTCAATACCAGTTGGTGCTGGAGATGGTGTAGCGGGGATCGTCCAGCGGGTCCTGCGTCGGGCCCGGCCGCGGGAGAACCTCCGGGGCGGATGGGCGAGGGGGCTGAGGCTCAGGCACGGCGGCACAGGGAGTGCCGGGGGGCGCTCCGGGGCCTGCAGGGGGTACGCCGTGCCCCCCGCGGGTCCCGGCACTCCCCGTGCCGCCGGGGGGCGCGGCCGGACCTCCCTGAGGCCCCGGTGGCGGCGGCGGCGGCGGCGGCGGCTCCGCCATAGCTGTCACTGAGGCGGCTTCCGGTCGCGGCGGAAGTGACGCGCCGCAGCCATGCGGGTGTGGGCAGCGCTGAGGGCGGCGGGGACGGCGCCGGGAGCGTTCCGGGAGCGCTTCGAGTTCGGCGGCCGCGATGTGGCCTCGTGGTTCCCGCGGCACATGGCCAAAGGTGAGCGGCGGCAGCGCGGCGGGTCGGGCTCCTCGGCCTCCCCGCCGAGCGCTCACCCCGCGCTGTGCTGTGCGCTGCAGGCCTGCGGCAGATGCGGCTGGCGCTGCGCCGCGCCGACTGCCTGGTGGAGGTGCACGACGCTCGGATATCCTGCACAGCTGCCGGACAACCCTGCCCCTTGTCCCTCCACACCACCCCTGTCCCTCTCCGCCTCCTCTCCATCCCCTCCCGCTACGCTCTTGCGGTCACTGTCCTTAGCGCAGGCACATTCCGCTGTCGGGCCGGAACCCCGCGCTGCAGGAGGCGCTGGGCATCCGCCCTCACGTCCTGGTGCTGAACAAGGTGGATCTGGCGGATCCCCGCCGGCAGCCGGTGAGCGCCGGGGCAGGGCAGGGCGGGCGACAGTGGCAGTGTCACAGGCAGGTGACAGCAGTGCTTCC